CTGGCAACACCAGGATTACTATTCCACATGGTGCAGAGCATCTGGCAACTGTCTTGACATTATCTTTCCCCATGAGCTCAGGCCTTTTCTGCATGTCTGTTTATTCTGACGCCAACTTTTTTTTTTATTATTATTATTATTTGCAAAGCCTACATAGCACAGTTTTGTTTTTGTTCTCTGTGTACAGGTTTTGTGATTTGTGCATCACTTTGCCAGTAAAAGATTTATTTCAGAATGGACACTAGTTCCTATTTATATATTTTTCACACTTGTTTTTCTGTCAATCAGTAATTTTTAGGCTGCTTTATAAACATGACACTCCACATGCTGTTTATTAGTTGAGGACATGAGATCACGTGATGCATATTTTCATCTATATGTGAACGTTCTTGTTCTTGTTTATCCGTAATTGGTTTTTATATTGGTATAGAGAACAGTGACTGCCATAGAAGCCGCCAGGTTTCTTAAATTTATGTCTTTATCTCGTTTATATTTGACACCAGAGCTGATGCGCCTTGGCAGGTGATGGTTTGCAGATATGCTGAAACAGCATTTGAGCACTTAAATGGTATTGTTGGTGTTCTGAAGCTGTTGGCCGTCATCCGTTGTTGAATAAGTGCTGTTTGTAGCATTAATCAGGCGTATTGTACAATTAATTGCAACAAAAGCTACTGGCAGAGATTTTTTTTGTCTTTGTCTATGTTCCAGTGTTTAATTGTGTGGACAAACCACCCACATTGTGGTCTCACTGTTTGACAGTGACACTTTCATTTGGCAGTGTTCCTAAAAATTGGAACATTATTTCACTCTTGAAACTCAAACAGTGTTGAGTTATCTGGTTTTCTTTTTCTTTTTACAGGCACATAATTATAAAGCAGCGATGTTATTAAGCTTCAGCTACATTAGCAGCCTGGACTCACTAGAAGTATTCCTTCCATTGTAATTTATCTAATAATGTTGAATAATAATACGCTTCTTGTACATTTGAACTTTGTAGTGTTAGAATAGAAGTCGGGTTTTTACAGCTCTCCTCTAAGGATCATATTCAAACCACCATAAAAATAGTTTAAAACCTTTTAAAGTTTTTTAATTGAGAGTACTGTCAGAAGACATCCTAAATCTATCCACATTTAATGAAACAAGCAGTATGCCAATGTTCCCAGTTGCTAGTGAAGGTTTGTAGTTTTTGAGATGAGTTATTCTAGACTGAAATTGAACAGGGAGCAAGATATTCAAGTGGGTAGAAGTTACACTGCGTAGAAAGATAGAGGTATGTAGTTTTTAATTTTTTTAATTTTATTGTTCAAGGCAGCGCAGTGTGACAGATCCTGACAAGTGGAGGAGTAATTTTATCCACCACCAGGCACAATGGCGGAGCCAGCGGGGTCTTGGCCACCATACGTTAATATTCAGCCAAGGACCACAACAATCATTTGTGAAAACAATATATAAAACAATATTAAAAACTAGAAAGCACAGATTCTCCAAATGACTGGAATGGTCAGTTTGCATATATATGGTGGTGGCCATCTTGGATTTTGACATGGCAACCCAATTTTCGATAGTGACGTTCCTTACATCTAGATGCAGCCACACACCAAAATGGAAGTCAGACGTTGCTTGTTTTTGAACCAATCAATTTTGGAAACTATACTTTAAACTATATAAAATCTGAAAAGTTTAGTTTCCTCAAATGACTGGGCGGGGTTACATATGGGAGTATGTTGTTTACTTTTCATGTTATTCAGCTCACAAGCTTAACATATACATATATGGTGGAAGCCGTCTTGGATATTGATGTGGCAACCCAATTTTCAAAAAACACCTTTTTTAGATGCAGCCACACCAAAATGGAAATCAGTACCGCACTTATTTTTCATGATATCCAACTCACAAGACAGACGGACATTGATGGCAGCAGCCATTTTGGATTTTGACCTGGTAACCCATTGTTTGACGTAAAAGTTTCTTACGCCTTGATGTAGTCACACACAATAATGGAAGTCGGTAACCCCGTTATTTTTTGAGTTATCATTCACACAACATGCACGGACAGACAGGCAGAATGCTCTATGGGGGACAAAAACAATAATTAAGACAAACAAAAGCAAGTAATTCCTGGACTGCAGATGTTTATATTACATCATGAGATACACGGAAACTCTTACAAATTATTGGAAGATGGGTTTCTGTTTTGGATGGCTAATAGTCGCCCCACAACAAACACACAAAGAGAAAACCGAACAATACGATGATACGAACTGCACCACAGAGGAGTCAAGTTTCAGTTTTTGTCCTGCGCGTGCTTCCTGTATAAAGGGTGATTGCACGTCTGTGGACAAGCTGTGTAAACATGAAGCCTCTGTAGCCATTATCAATCTGTGACTGTCTTTTTCTGACGCCTAGGTAACACAAAGGGTCATAGTTTACTGTAAAGCTGCTGTGGGTTTTAAAAGCACTCGTAGCATGTAAAGTATAAAGCTAGCATTTCCTGTTCAAAAATATGATCGTGTGTATTTCTGTTTAATTCTTCATGACGAAAACACAGACATGTCACTAAATGTTTTCTCTCCTGGAAGTGGTCTTTATGGCTGTTGAACAAGAAAAAACAGAATTAGCTGGCTGCTATGACTTGTTCTTCCTTCCATATACCCTTTATATCCAAGCATATAGAGAAAACCTTTGTTAATAGTTGGATTGTGTAATTGCTATGCTATTATTTCCTCTCCTATCGTGTATTCATCTTGTCAGACGTGGTTGATGGCTTTAAGGGTCCCCTTTGTGATCGTAAGACCATTATTACTTCCCTTTCTTGCTCATTAGTGACAAAAAAAATCTCTGCTTTGCAGAACCAAACAATTATCCTCCCTCGTTACCTGCATTTATATTGATCACGGTTCTGCAGCCACGTCACCAGTCCTCCGCGAGTGATTGTTTGGTCAAGCGCCTCAATAAAAAGCCTATTAAACTTCATATGTATGCTCTTTAATAGCCTTTCATGTGCCATGTGAACAGTGCTTGATGTGTAATTGTTTTTATAGGGAAATGATTTTTAATTATTAATGAAAATGTTTGAGTTCAATATAGACCAGGCTGTTGTCTCATGTTCTCATTTATTTATGTCCAGAAATTAGTAAAGACTCGAGGGATGAAAATACTGTAAGCAACGTTTTGCATCATGTAGTTGTGTTCAGTGTGCATTCATTGTTCTTGAATTGCGCCGCTTGGGATGGCTGCATGTTGGAGTAGCTCTTTTACATTCATTCTGAGAGTTTGCTTTTGGAAACTTTAATTCCTCTTTTTCTGGACACAAGTCACATTTTTTGTGATGATTGTATCCTCTGGTATCGGATGCTGTGCAGCTGGAAAGATTTTTACAGAATTTTTTTTTTTAGTTTTGGATATTTGTTATGATGTGTAACCATAACAACAAGGTGGTTTTTTACAACCGGGAGCAGCTGATTAACATCTCAAAAGCTCAAATAATATCTCAACTACAGCCCCAGTTCTCAAATGAGTTGAAAAGGAGATGCCGTAGATGCATTCCCGTCTCCTTGCCGGCTGTGCTCGAGTGCCTGACCACTGAGATACTGGAGCTGGCAGGAAACATGGCTTGTGACAGCAGAAGGACAGGATCATCACCCAGAACCTGCAGCTGGCTGTTCGCCACAACAAGTAGCTCGGCTGCTGGGAGGAGTGGCCTCCGTTCAGGCTCTTGAGATGGCGCTGGGAGGAGTTCTGCCCAGCATTCGGGCGGTCCTGCTGCCCGGAGGGACCGAGACGCCAGCCTAGTCTGGGTGGACGGATTGGTCGGCATCTGATGTCAGTTTCTTCAGATCTGCTGTGGGGCGGACCTTTACAAGAGATCCTTCCTGCCTACAGCCATCAGTATCTATAACACCTCAATGAAACGAGGATAACACATTACAACAACATTTAATTTACGTTTGGGATTAATAAAATATTTTGAATTAAATTAAATACTATTGTATTCAATATACCTGATATACTGATTATATATATATATATATATATATATATATATATATATATATATATATATATATATACATACTTAATAATATTAACAGCAAACTGAAATATTCAAACCCTGTATTTATACCTGTGTGCTTGGATCAATGCTTCAGTAAAGCAATTTTAAATGCTGAATGTAATTTATCGTGTTTTTAGGTAAAACATGCACATCAAGGTAGGTGCGCCGTTATCTGATCCTAGTCGTTTGTAAAAATGGTTGACATGTATGTTATCATAAATGAAGTTAAAAAAGTAGCATTTTTAAGTCTTGCACATACTTGATGCTGTTAGCATTGCAAGAGGAACTACATGCTTTGTTGCACATTTACTTGAAACAGTTAACAAATATTTTTAGAGGAATTACACCAAAAAATTTATTGATATTTTATTTTGCTAGCCTGTTGTTATAATAAAATATTTCACAAAATGCAAACAAAATCAAGTAAAACATTTTTGAAATCAGAGGTATTTATTGAGTTCAAATTAGAAATTATTTGCTGAATTTAGGTCATTTGTATGTTAGCATATGGGTTTTTTTTTTTGAGTAAGTAAATATATTTTGTTGCTAATACTTTTCTTTTTATAATAAGAAGTAAAGAAAGTATTTGCTGAGAATGGTAGTTTCTAAACTTTGCTTCAGTCTTTTTTTGGATTGTGTATAATGTTTATTTTGGATTTTTAATTGTTTGTATAAAAAAACTCATGAAGAATATTTTTAACATGGTTTTGAAACTCATGTATTTCTTGGATGGGTGTCAGAATTTAAATTAAGGACTACGTGCACATTTTAATGAGTTTGCTTGGACACACAAAATACAATTTTTTATCTCTCGTCTACGTGGTACATTACAAATTAGAGTTTGTCTCTTGGTTATTATGTTTTGGAGTATTTGTGTTTGAGCATAAGGTGTGTATGCTCTCCTTCATAAAACAAAATAACATTTTGCTCGTACGTTTCCTCATAGGGTGCAGGTAGAGTTCTACGTGAATGAAAACACCTTCAAGGAGCGGCTGAAGCTTTTCTTCATCAAAAACCAAAGGTCAAGTAAGTGCAGCTAACAGAAAGCATCAGCCACTCTCGTCTTACAGTGAAAATGGTAAGATTGCTGTCTACCAGATAAGCTAAGTGGACAAATAATAACATAAAGAAACATTTGAAGTCGCTGATGATGCATGTCCATTTTCTGTTTCACTTAGGGTTTCTGTATTGCATTAGCTTCCTTGTTGTAAATGATTGTGAGGTTTTGCTTTTTTGTGGTTGCATGACATTAAGAAGCAAGGCCCATTTGTTGAAATGTGGCAAAGCATCAGTGCTTTTCTCACTGGGAGGCTGGTGGAGCTAAAGTGTCTGTTTAAAGCCACCCAGGAACAAATCAGCAGTTCAATGTGTTCCTTATTCATTTAGATTTTCCTGTAAAATTGAGCACAGCGAGAGGCCCTCGGTAGGAAAAGTCGTTAACATAACCTCAGCTCTGGAATGACTCGTCCTCAATAAGTCGGGAAAGACTGACACGAAGTGTCAAGAGTCTAATGAGAATGCCACTCCTGGTTGCAGGCCTTTGTTGTTTGTTGGGTTTCAAACTGTTTTAATGTTGATGCGAACTTCATTCAAAGAGACCATGTCAGAACGTATTAGGTCGCTGTTGTGGTTGTTCAGAAACAGCTAGTTCCACCCCCTGGATGGCACGCATGTCTTCAGACAGGCGTTTCTCTTAATTCCATGTGGCACTGATATTTGAACCTATTGGTATGAACCAAATGAAAATCCTGATCCCATTAAAAACTAAAATCCTTCTAATATATCTACTGGTCACCCATTTGTCCTGCTGGGTGTTTCTACAGTGTGTTGTACCCTCATAAATGTATATATTTTGCATTATTCTTGGAGGACTTGAAAGCTACAGGTGTGGATACATGTGTTTGTAGCCCTTTGTATTGGAAAGAAAACCCTCCAAGGTCACTGAAATAACTAGACATGGACATAAGTAATATTTAAAAAAAAAAAAAAAAAAAACTAATGAAAATCTGGGTTTTTTTTTATTTTGGTTTAACAGATTTTTTTTTAAATAAACTAATAAGACAGTTCTTCACAAAAAGGATGGACTCCCTAACTTAATTTTTTTTTTGCACAACCTTTTGAGGTAATCACTGCAATCAAGCAGTTTCTGTAACTCTCAGACCTCTGCATCTGTCAACAGGTTTTTAGGCTCACTCTTCATGATCAAACTCCTTCAGCTGTCTCCAGTTTGAAGGGTTTCTTCTTCAGACTTTGTTTCAGCTCCTTCCACAGATGTTCAATAGGAACATCAGATTAGGGTTCAGAAAGCCACTTCAAAGAAGCCCAGTGTTCTTAGTGTTTTTAGTTGAGTTTGGGTCATTATCTGGTTGGAGGACCTGCAACCTTCTAACATGTTTCATTCCAGAATGCCTTGATAGTCTTGAGATTCTTTTGCGCTCTGCACAGATTCAAGACATCACCTGTTTAAATGACATTCTCCCAGAAACTTTGTGGCTTGTCAAGATGCATTTTGGCAAATTCCAGAGAGCATGACATATGTGAAAATAAGATATTTAGCTTCTTTTATTACCAGTGAAAATCTAAACTTTAGATTGAAGCCTAAAGTGTAAGTCTGTGAATGAAACAGATCCGATTGGTGTGTTTTTTTTCGTTGCTCCACAGGTTTGAGGATTCGTTTGTTCAACTTCGCTCTGAAGATTCTCACCTGTGTCCTCTACATAGTCAGAGTCAGCCTGGACAGCCCCAGAGAGACCAACAGTAACCCATGGTGAGAGTCGGCAGGAGACGCTCCTCGTTTTTTACCCTTTCAAAATAAGAGCATTATTTACTGCTTGGCTGCTGATTTTAGTTTGTTTAATCACTTAACTCTGATCAATTTCATTTCAAACGAGCCAGATGACTATCTACAAAAAAGTGTTTCCATCCAAGAATTCCTTTAAATAAAAAGCCACAGGCTCTTCTTGAGAATGAAGCTGCCTTATTTATTTTTACAGAAAGGATGTCATTTTATTTGTGTCATGTTTAATGTGACCACAGCGCACGGAGTCTGTGACGAACAGCAAGTTACACCTTCTGTTACTGCATCGTGTTTACATATTGTTTTAAACATTTCCAGCAGATGATTCCAACGAGCCAATTTCCTCACACATGCCTACGTTCACACATTTGAAATCTATTTTTGTTTTTTTCCCCTTGCTGCTTTTTTAAATTTTTTCTACAGTGCAATACGTCGCAATAGCAGTTCTCTAAATACCACCGAGTCAGACATCAACTGGTACGTTTCAGACAAAAATATATGCTCATGTTTTCAGTTATTGTGTTGCATTTAGTAATAAATATTCTTATTACTGTTTATTTATTTTACAGGGCTCGAATTTTCTGGGTGACTAGATGCGAGTCTGTGTGGGCAGTACAGGTGAGGGTGTTAAACCTGCTGTGAATATGAACATAAATTATAGTTCAGTTCCTGAGCTAAACTTTAAAGTGCAATTTAACCACAAATTGCCAGCTGTCATTTATTAGACGTAGAGGGCTGTATTTCCTCTGTGACGGTAATAAAAACCAAAATGGATGAGTCTGCAGATTTGGGCTTCGTTCATCACCTTCTTCTCTGCTGCAGGTGACAGTGGCCTTAATCAGTTTCTTGGAGACTATGCTGATCACATATCTCAGCTACAAGGTAAGAGGCTCCTTCACTGCACTCGGTTTGTCTCATTAATCATCCGTGGTGTTTTACAGCTTTTGGATTAAAGTCCAGAACTTTTGTTTTGTTCTCTTTTATGCACCGAAACCTTCCGTGGTTGAGTCCAATTACTCAGTCTATCCCAGCTGGGTTGCACGCAGATATTTAAACAGGTTTGCAGAGCTGGAAGTGTAGCAGATGTTCGATACGGAGGCAACATATACTGTAGGTGCATTTCTGTGTATTTGGCGATTATAAAAGGTGCACGGTACTGGCTGTGCAATACAATAAATCATAGCAAGAGTCAGCAGAAGCTTTGATATAATTCTGTAGGGTTAAGAAGTCTGGGTTTGGTTTTGAAAACAGTTCAGTACATCTTTAAACATGTCTGACAACTCGGACAGCTTCCTCCTCTCACACTAGTGAACATGTTGCAGAATCACTTCAATGTGCTTCTGCGATCGACCTGTGAAACGTCTTATCGTCTCGTATTTAGATCATCCTTTTGTGTTAAACCACACCATTTCCTTCTTCCTCTGTGGGTTGTTTAATGGATTTCTGTTGCTTGTATCATGGCCTACTGCCCTAAAAGACAAGCGCTCGTGTAATTGCTTGTGTGGTTTTGTAGCGTTTAGCAAAGCATAAACTGCTGGACCAGTTTTATTAAACTTCTCAGAAAGTGATCTTTAAATCTACAAAATCTACAAGTGATTAACTTCAGGAGCCCGCTCAGTTTTAGATGGCTGCCACGGCTAATTGACCACAGCAAACAGAAAAATAGCTACAAATCAGTCAGTTTTACTGATATTTGCACACATTTGGTGCGATTTAGATGAGATTCATCCCCATCACGTGGTCCCAGTCCCAACAGATTGTGCAAGATCTTTGTTTAAACTTCAGCATGCAAGGTGGCTGGCTATATGCCCTCTTTCAAGAAATCCTAGTTTCAGTTCATGTGGAATGGCTCCATATTGTGTTTTCTAAGTGGAGATGAACTCAACTTTTAAATGATTTGTGCACAATCCAACATAAAACTGAAGGCTCAGCTTTAGTTCCAGTCGAAGGCAGCCCTGCTTTCTCATTCTGCCGGGGTTTGGCTGCATGTTGTCATGCACCGCCTGCTGAAGATTACGTCCACTTGTTGTTCGCTGCGCTGTGATGTTAGACCAAACGTAAACCACGGTTCTATCTCTGCTGACTGGAAAAGGCCGAGCATTTTGTATTCAGCACAGCACTGATTACATGCCTCGGCATGTTATTATAACGAAAAGAACGATTGCGTAACAGGTGTTTAAAAGTGAGAATGAAGGATGCAGAAATTTGAATAGATTATCAGAATGAATAGAGACCTGATTGAGAACATAATGCTGGTTTTATATAACCTGACACTGTAGCTCTGCATCATCAGAGGAGATGAAATCAAGTTTATAGATGGATGGATGGATGGATGGATGGATGGATGGATGGATGGATGGATGGATGGATGGATGGATGGATGGATGGATGGATGGATGGATGGATAGCTAGCTAGCTAGCTAGCTTCTTATCCTCTCTGGCACTATAAACTCACTGATTTCTTTACCTTTTCTCATAAATCTCAACTCTAGGGGAACATTTGGGAGCAGATCTTCCAGATGTCCTTCATATTGGAGATGATCAATACAGTGCCATTTATAGTCACAGTGAGTATTTCAGACAAACAGCCTCTGTTTGCTTTTTTGCTGAATATAGAATCTTGTTTTGTTTTGTCATTTTTCTTTCTGTACATTAAAATAATACGCTTGTAACTACAGCAAATCTGTTTCACCTCCACCTTTTAGATCTTTTGGTGTCCATTAAGAAACATATTTGTTCCCGTATTTCTTAATTGCTGGCTCGCCAAAGGTGCTCTGGAGAACATGATTGTAAGTATTTTTTATATTTAGTTGTTTGTTCTTATTACTGTACTTATAACGCTGTGTTTCCTAAATCCAACATAATTACATTAATTATGGTGGGAAACAGCCATTGGTACGGCTCTTTACCGTCATAGTTTATATTATGGACTTGTTGCTCATAGAAGTCTGGGTGGTCTTGTATGATTTTAGTTTCACAGCACACAAAATTAATTTATTTCAAAACAGAACACTGATTATGTTGCCTTGTTTATTGAAAATTTATTCCACTCCATCTTGAAGGAACAATTAAATCATCTTGTAATGTATTTGTTGACAAACTCTTGTCTATTTTTGCCAACTAAAACATACTTTTGTGTTAAATCTCGATTATAATCGCCTACTGATGTTTCAAATAATCAGTTTTTATACATAAAGATGAACCCTAAATTCCTCCTGCCCTGACTTTCTTCGTAATTTTACAAGCCAGAACTAGGAATGGAAATAAACTAAATGTAATAAAAAAGAGAAGCATCAACTCTCAGTTCATACACTCTGCTCTTCTGCAGGTTTTAGGGGAGCATTGACCTCACTAGAAGCTGATGAAGAATGTTGGCTGTGAATGTTTTGGACGTTAACTCAGTTTAACTGGACACAATTGAATTAAATGGGCTCATTCCCTTCTGTCGTTGTGTAAACACATCTGAGCCGTGCACGAAGCAGTGCATCTATATGAAACAAGTTGTTTTGTCTACATGGGCGTAACCTTGTTAGCAGGAACACTGGCGCTTTGATAAGTTGGCCTTCCATCTAATTAATTGGTATTTTTCACGAACACTTCTGATTTATTCACGTTCAAGAAGCAGACTGGTTTAGAAAGACGTGGATGTCACAACTGCCTGTTTTGTTTCTCCTGGCAGATAAACCTTTACACTGAAGGAGCTTTATTATTTGTTTTTTTTTTCAAACATTATTATATTGTACAATTTGGAAGCAAATCATGCACAGAAATAAAAAGTTGTGCCGGTCATGCTCAAATTCTGAGTGCTACGTGGCATTTAAAGCAGTTTGTTATATTTAAGCTGCAGTGTGATTTGTGAGATCACTGTGATTCAGATGAGGTCAGGACACGGTGAGCGCTTGATGCCAAAGCTTGTAGTCGGCAGATGGCAGAACCGGGTCCTGCAGCGAGGAGGTGGTACAGGCAGGACATGCTAACAAGATGCAACTATTAGTAGCTAGTAGTTGGGGAGTTTATAGTTAGGTTTTAATGCAGTGTTTAACATTAGATTTTAGAAACTGGTGGATTTATGCGTCACATTGTTGCTTTCTCTTAATGTACTGACAAAAAAATCTAAATAGTCATACCGTGATTAACTTTTTGAGCTTCTATTTGCCGTAAGGCAAAACTTTAATATGAATGAAAATGGTGGGAGTGGTGGCGCAGAGGTTAGAAAAGGTGATCCTATGATCGGAAGGTTGCCGGTTCGACTCCTCGGACCGACAACATCAAAATGTGTGTGGAAATGTTGAAACACCCACACCTGTCTCCACCTTCATTTACTCCACTCTGAGCCCTTGAGCAAGGCCCTCAACCCCCACCATCTGCTCCCAAACAGGTCTCTCTTGAAAATGAGTCCTCATGACTCAATGAGACTGCCTGGATAAATAAAGGGTAAATAAATGAAAAATAAAAATGACACTGTACATGTAGAAAAACATGTACCGGTATGCCTCAATATTCGTTTCAGTAGATGCATTAAAAGATTTGTGATATCTTAATTAAAAGATCAAGTTCCCAACGTGTACGATGTGTAAATTAAATTGGGGCAACATGTTTGTGAACCGTTAGCGTCTGAAGTTACAGAGAGAGACTATAAAAATGAGGTAAAGTTGTCCTTGCACTTCTTTCACATCGTCACACACTCTGAAAATACACACCATGACAACAATGACCACTGTTTATTTAGTCAACAGCAGAAACTGTGATTCTTCTTGTAATAAAGGGCGTCTAATTAGCTTTTCTTGAATGATTTCTCAGATGCAATGTGACTTTTGTTTAATCTTTGCAGAGGTTTTTATTTATAATCCAGAGTAAAAAAGTTTTATTCCTCTGTCATAATTTAGTAAATTAAATATGTTGGGTAATCTTGTCTCCACAGAATGATTTTCACCGTGCCATCCAGAGGACCCACTCCGCCATGTTCAACCAAGTGTTCATCCTCATCTGCACATTACTGTGTCTGGTTTTCACAGGGTGAGTCGACATCTGGTATTCAAACACCTCTTGACCCAAACGTCTTGCAGTCACAACAAAGTGTCCCGTTGGTTGCAGCGAGGCCAAAATTGTTTCTTTTTTTTGTGATAGGATCAAATTAGATTGAAGGAATCCCTGAAATTCAACTAAAGTTACATTGGACGAGCTTCCCTAATATTATTTAATCAAAAGGCCTCTGTTCATGGATAAAGTATTTGTCCCAGGAAAAAAAATACCAAATTTATCAATGCATAAGAAAAAAGAGACCTTTAATTATTAAAGCAACACATTTTTTTGTTTTTAATTAAGAAGATATTCCACAAAAATATGGCCACTGTTTATCATTCAGGCTGGCATGTTCTGCCTCGTTACAGATTTTTTTTAGTTTGTTTTGTTTGTGTCAATCATCTGTGAAGACGCCAGTAAATCCTTTATTTTTACTCTTTTCAGTAGGACAGAGCGTTTTCTTTGTTAGAATTAAATTTCTGTATATTTTCAATTCTCACGTGGCTGAACTTGTTTATATCTGACTGAAGTAAATTTGTCTCTATCAAAAATAAATTAGTCTTATCTCGCGGCTCTTTTCTATTAGATTGATTTTTCTTTCAACTTCCTCTTTTCCTCTTTTTTTATATTACTTCTGCAAGCACAAATCATTCAACTATGTTTAGGGCTACAGCAAAATGTGTTGTATCGGACAGATTTTTACTGTAGATTCACCACTAAAATGACTTTATTTTAAAGTTTTCTTTCTTGATCAATCAGAAAGTTGACATTTTATGTTTTGTTGACAAAGACCACCTCAATTTATAACTTTTGTACCGTTTAAGACTTCACTGTTGTTGATGTTAAACCAATAACTCACCGGGGTTTTTCATTCACTTAAACCTCAGTTATTTATCATTGCTTTTAGATTTATACCACTATTTCATTTAAATCAAAGGTGCTTTCTTTTAGGCTGTAGCTGTTTGATAGAGATCCTGAACCATGACCATCACTCATCATTTCCTCTCCTTCACATCGTCTCCTTCCTGCGCCTCCAGGATTCATTAAACCTTCGATCTATCTAAGAAAGAAAAATTAACTGGCCCAGGCAGTGAGAGAGAACTGATGGAACAATCAATGCTGCCACTTAAGATGAGCGACTGCGCTGTGCTCATGTTGTTTTCTGAGTTTCGCTCCGGACCTGTCTAAACTATAATCTTGAAGCACCTTGGGATATTTAGTGAGATACTTATCAAGTGTTTTATTTAGATTTTTTTTTTTCTAACATGAAGCACGCTCGTCTGATGTATTTGATTATTTTCTTTCTGCAGAGCTTGTGGGATTCAGCATCTAGAGCGAGCCGGGAAGAACTTGTCCTTGTTTGACTCGTTTTATTTCTGCATCGTCACTTTCTCCACGGTGGGCTACGGAGACGTTACACCGAAGATCTGGCCCTCCCAGCTCCTGGTGGTCATTCTCATCTGCGTTGCACTCGTAGTCCTCCCACTACAGGTACATGAAGGACTAAACCAGCACTTCACACACACCTCATCTTAGATCTGTCCATTGATTAGTCAGGTCAAGTCAGATTTATTTGTATAGCACATTTAAAACAGGAACTGTTACCAAAGTGCATTAACAAAAGAAAGACATACACGGGGAGATTAGGCTGCAGCCACTTGAGCGGCGCCACCTTTTTAGATAAGTGACAACATGAGGAAAGTGGAGATCAGAAATGACCTCAGAACAAAAAGCAACATAAATAGACATAAGACACATAATATGCCAGTGAAGACATTGAGTTTGAGGGAAGGTCGTAGCACAGCACAATCCAGAACCCCCCCAGCCATAGTTCTGATAAGAGATGGTTGTTTATCAGCCAGCTCGGTTGAGTTCTGTCACAGGCCCATGACTTAGGAGATGGGAGGGGGTGGAGAGGGGGTGGAGAGGGGGTAGAGCGTCTTTGTTTCCATGACATCCAAGGAGGAATTGAGATAGTTCGCCTTCCAAGGCCAGGTTCAGATTCAGATATCAACATTGTTTTGGGTCAGGTCTAACTCATAAATTTCCGTGTCTGCCTTACAGTCTTGCTAGTACATTCTCTCATGGCAACTCCAAACAGACAAATTTGGTTACTTATGCCGAAGTCGAGCTTACAACTTCTCCAAGATTTATTCTTTCCAACCATTCGTGGACACTGCCAGACAGTTCCACAGTCCTGATAAGGATCAGCCTGCTCAGCTTTGGTATAGCACCACATATAGTTCACATGTAGTCTGAGTGATGCCAAGCTCGGCACGTTCTCCACACATTCCAAGCAGCTTAAACAGCTGCTGGTGTTTCCAAATTTGTTGACAATCCAGATTTCCACCAACTCTAAACAGCAGAATCCAGTTACCATAGATCCAATTATGTTTCCGTAGAGGTAAGAGGGTTCTCCTTCACCCTGACCACCTGTTGCAAAAAATTGATCAATTTTGTTGAGAGACCAGCTGATCAAATCCATCGTTAACAATTCAGAATGTATGCAAAAAAGAGGCTCTGTAAGAAAGAGGTTAACAAGACAAAAGAGGGACGGAGCAGAGGAGGATGTGTCTGCCTTCCACTGAGAGCAAGTCAAGAATTAGAAATTTTTATGTTCACAGCTTCAAATATTATCATAAAATGTTCATGCAGCAGATGGAGACTGACAGTAATTTCAAATTTAATTAGGCGTTTGCATCACTAAGAGTTTTGGCTGCAGAAGGAGTTCACAAGACTCAGTCAGGTTCAGACTCACTTCATCATGCATTTAAATGTTCTCCCAACACTTCACTTCATCACCTTGGATGTCTTGAAGACATTATGTCACTGTCAAACTCATGGGGAGAAAATTGGAAATAAAATCATGCTTCTTGCATCACAAATTTTCAAATAATTTGTTGCTTAAGATCAAACCTGGCTCAATGTATTTGTTTACTTTCAATAGTTCTTGATTTCACGCCTGTGTTGTTAGTTTGAAGAGCTAGCGTACCTGTGGATGGAGAGCCAGAAGCTGGGAGGGAACTACAGCCGCCACCGAGCGCAGACTGAAAAACACGTGGTGTTGTGCGTCAGCTCGCTCAAGATCGACCTGCTGATGGATTTCCTCAATGAGTTCTACGCCCATCCAAGGCTGCAGGTGCAGTGGACAATGAACGAGACAAATTAATATCCTGTAGAAACGTTAAAGAACAGTTTTATGAATTTAATCTAAATTCTTGTTGAACACTGAGATTTGCATTCAGTTTGGAAATTGGCAATACAAAGTATCAAACCACTGAACATTTAAAAGTACTTGTGCAAACAGGAAGACTGGCAAACATGTCCATCCATCCGTCCATCCATCCATTCATCCATCCATCCGTCCATCCATCCATTCATCCATCCATCATCTTCCGCTTGTCTCAAAGTCGGTTCAGGGGGGCAGCAGCTTGAGCAGGGAGGCCCAGACATCTCTTTCCACAGCCACATTTTCCTGCTCTTCTGGGAGGACTCCAAGACGTTCCCAGGCCAACGGAGAGACGTAGTCTCTCCAGCATGTCCTGGGTCTCTTCCCAGTCGGGACATTCTCGAAGCGCCTGCTACTGCTGACTCCTTCGAGCTGTGGTGTATGTCACCATGCAATTACGTAGTTGTGTCGCAGCTTTTTCTGTTCGGATTGAAACTGAAGCAGCTGCTTCAACCCGAACAGAAAAAGAAATGCGTCAGTGAAACGCTGTAATCATAGTGTAATGTATATCGAAAAATCGAAAATGTTCTTGAAACTCATATCACCGTTATTGAATAAAATTATGTTGTGATATATATCAATATTGAATTATTGTCCAGCCCTACTTGAACTCCTCCACTTGAGGCAGAACCTCACCCCCAACCTGAAGAGAACAATCCACCCTTTTCTGACTGAGGGCCACGGCCTCAGATTTGGAGGTGCTGATTCTCATCCCAGCTGCTTCACACTCGGCTGTGAACCGCTCCAGTGAGAGCTGGAGATCACGGCACGATGACGCCAACAGGACCACATCATCTGCAAAGAGCAGAGATGAGATCCTGAGGCCACCGAACTGGACTCCCTCCTCCCTCTGGCTGCACCGAGAAATTCTGTCCATAAAAGTTATGAACAGAATCGATGACAATGGGCAGCCCTGGCAGAGTCCAACTCCCACCCTGAAGGGGTCCGACTTACTGCCATCAATACAAACCGAACTGTCACACCTCTTGTATAGGGACCAAACAGCTTGTAGCAACGGGCCCCCAATCTTATACTCATGGAGCACCCCCATAATGTACCCCAAGGTCAAAATGAAAATCATAAACTTTTTTTTTTTAATAATCAATAGCTGATGTGTCCTTAAATAAAAAAGACCGTAGCTAAATTTGTGCTAGATGCCAACTACCTTTTGTGTTTGTTTGCCTACAGAAACAGCTGAAGTGGCTGAAAACAGGCCGAACGTTAAACTTGTTGGCCATGTTTGTTTACCTGCTCAGATTATGGTCAGCCTAATGGAAATCAGTCATGTGACCCCAGCCTTCTTCTGGTTTTCAGATGATTCATCTGAGTTCTTTGAGAGTTTTCAATATTTCACATCAATATAGCAGAAGAATACTGGAGTAAACTTTTTCAAACAACACCATTTGATCTATGCAGAGAACCTTTGTGTTTGATTTCGTACTTTGCAGTGAGTACCTTTTAACTGCTGACCTACAGGTATGGATTATTGTTAATCTCATTTTAAGGGGTTGTGTGATTACCTGATGTGTGGCTTAAAGTACTTCCATTAGTTTAATGTTTTTTTTCTTCTGTGTTCATGTGGGATAAGTGCGGAATAATTACACAAGACGAGCAAGCAAGAGTAGAGTTTAAAGTGTCCCTTCCGGTTCATAAAAAGTTTTAATATTCAGCACATTAAAGATTTGTCTTTTAACAAGACCCAACTATTAAACTTTACTACATAGAATATGTGCAGGTATAATAGTAAATTATATGTTCAGAACTGTACTAATTTCCTCAGAGAGAAATTTGCCTGTGCTTTTTGTTTACTGCCCTCTCACTTTATAAAAGTATGCAGTTCATCCAGACTGTAACAGCGTTTTTCATAAATATTCATACATTTTTAATAGCCTTCATAAAAACTGAAGATCTAATAAGTTTGGGCTTAAAAAAAAACAACGACTCTGTTGATTTCTGTTGCAGGACTATTATGTGGTGATTCTGTGCCCGACAGAAATAGACATTCAGGTTCGGCGTATCCTGCAGATCCCTCTGTGGTCCCAGAGGGTCATCTACCTGCAGGGATCTGCCCTCAAAGACCAGGACCTGATGAGGGCCAAGTGAGTCAACCATGGCTTGGAATCTTGAAATTAAACAAAATAATGAATTAAAAAATATTTTCAAAATACATATTGATTGATAACGTGCTGCAGTTGTTTAATTCTAAGACTTTTTTTTTTTTTTTTTTTTGCTAATCCGTTCCCTTGTTTGGCTTAAAAAGTGTGCAGCTGATGAGGCGTTTCATTTTCAGCGCTTGTATTAAATCCACAACTGGATTTATAAATGCATCACTTCCTGCCACGCTGCAGGGGGTTCACGCTTCCCTCCTAAATTTGTAAAGTATCTGACAAAGATCAATTTTCCTGCTCCCTCGTGTGCAGTTTTACACCTGACTAACAGCAGACGGTTCTCATGCAGGTTCAGGACTGTTAAACTTTTCGAGCTGAAGTCTGGGAACGATAGCGCTCATCCACACCCTGCATCGACTGGACTAAACGATCGATTTTATGTTTGGCTGAATTTGCCCTCCTGCTGCCACCAGCCCATGACCAGATCCTCATTTATCTGCCTTTGGTTCTTTTAGGATGGACGACGCTGAGGCGTGCTTCATCCTGAGCAGCAGGAATGAAGTTGACCGAACTGCTGCTGTGAGTCGCATCAAAAAATGAGTCGAATTAAAGACGAGGCTGTTTCAAGTTTCACTCGTGATAATTGCTTTTTTATTTTTTCTAAAACAGAGATACTGTGTAGATGTTATCATGACTGTCTGTTAAACGTGGAGGTCTGCTAAAACTCCAGAGTCCATAAAATCCCCCCTGCCTTCATGAATGAGTTACTGCACGGGTATTGAAGCCGTTTCTCCTCCTGCAGGATCACCAGACTATTTTGAGGGCATGGGCGGCGAAGGACTTTGCTCCAAACTGCCCGCTTTACGTCCAAATCCTCAAACCAGAAAATAAATTCCATGTAAAGTTTGCTGGTGAGTATCCGTAGATTCAGAACTGGAAACGTTTTGCCAGTCGGATGCAGAAGAAATGTCGTATTCGTTTGGTCTGAGCAGATCACGTCGTGTGTGAGGAGGAGTTCAAGTACGCCATGTTGGCTCTGAACTGCGTGTGTCCCGCCACGTCCACGTTAGTGACTCTCTTGGTTCACACCTCCAGAGGACAGTGAGTACACACTACCACCACTTACAGTAAGCGTCTAAACTGCTCCCTGTCTGCAGGTTATTCACAGGCTGATTGGTAAAACAGTCCAGAATTATTCAATCTAGATCAGCTTTTCCACTGTTTGATATTTATTGAGTCTAACTGGTGTCTGCTCTCAGTAAAACTCCATCGTTTTTTAGTTGTCACGTCACTCATATTACCCATATGTCCCCTTTGTTTGGTGTTTGAAAAGCTGGATTTTGTTCCCGCACAAGTGAATTAAATATTCTTTAATTAAAAATGTTCAGCTTGAGCTTGGCATAAACACTGGAAACTGCCTGGCTTTGTTGAAATGTAACAAATCCAACAGCCGGTTGTCTGTTTATTTATTTATTTACGAACTGATTAAATACATTTGAATTTTGTTGATTTAACGAGCTTTAGATGAACTCTCTGCTAGATGTTACAGTTTGACTCATAGCTAGACAAAGGTTTGTTTGTTGGGGAAAACTGTAAGAAACTTTCTCTATTTATTCCATCTAGCTTTTTCATCGCAGATTTTTTTTTTTACACGTGCGTATATCATGTAAAATGAAAATAAACGTGCTTCTTTGTATATATTTGATGATCTCGCGTGAAAGTAAAGCAAAAGCCGCAGCAGCACTGAAATGTTTCAGGTGATGTGTATTTACTGCTAAGAATTAGTTCAGGGAGATGTTTTACCAGCAGCAGGACAGTTAAAATGATAGTTAAAAGGTTTTAAAGTAAGATTCTGTAGAACAGTAATGAATAATACTATCTTACTTGTTGTAGAAAGCTTTTTGTGACCTCAGTTTAGAGGAGAGCTTAGCTTTGACCAAACTGACGAGCTACTACTATGGCCGAAGTCATGACCAAAAAATATTCTTGCTGTTTTGAAACTGTTTCATTGTTTCAACCAAATTCAGACAAGAAGTGGGCAGAGGTGCTGTTCAAGTGTGTTGTATGGAAAAAAAAAAAGTAGTTTTTAAACAATATTTTGTGTAAATAACTGCAATAACCTGAAATAAATTAGACGTATCTGGAGCGTATCTAAAAAAGTTAAGTCAAGTCTTCTGGACGGATTAAAAAAAAAATTAAAAAAAACTTGTTGAACCGTTTCATTTTAACAAGTTTTTTTTTTAGATTTTCTACCTGGATTATTGAGCATGCATCAGGATATCTGTAGCTAAACTAACGTGGTTCAGTACTAATGAAGCCCACTAGTGTCCGACTCTTACTATACATACCTTTTACAAACACTGAAGTTTTACTGTCAGTGCATTTTTCATATTAATTTATCTTTCCCATGTGAAATAATACCATTGCACTCTGAGCTATTTGCAAACAGATCTTAAGCTTTTAGAATCTGTATTCTTACCTAATTAGATTTCAAACTTTTAACACCAGCCTTACCAGTTGACTAAACGTGGTCACTTTTGGATGCAAACTCCACCAGGAAAGTTCCCCAGCCGAGATTTGACCCAACAACCTTCTCGCTGAGCGGCAGCAGCTCGACCAATGGCGCCGCTGTGACACCTAGGTCCAAACAGTCCATAACAAGCAAACGTAATTTTTTTCTGTGGCTCTCAAAAAACAAATGGCTGCCTCACAGTTGGTGGTCATTATTCATGTGAACTGATGAACCTTCACTTGATCGTTTGATCAAACGAGCGATTTTTCTGCAGGAAAGTCAGGAAGGAGGAAACAGTCACACAGACTGTTCCTGCCACAAACTGAGTAATGTTCTGTCACTAAACTCTGCTTCCAACATCACGCTGTTTCTCTTTAGGCTACAGATCTACAGAGCTTTCCCTCATTCTGTTCAACTTCTCGGCACAACTCGTTTATTTTAGTTCTAGAAGCTCACTCTTGCCTCTGGCTGTGAATGTACCAGAAATTAAAAAAGACGTTTCTACGGCAGGTGCCAATTTAAACGTTATCAAATTGATTTAACTTTATGACGAGCACTAAATTCAATGACCTCAAAGCTCTCTCTCATGTGTGAGAACCAGATCACTCTGTGGGGAAATAAGAGCTACTGAGAGGCTAATAAAGTTTATTAAAAACTGTATTTCATTCATTTTAACAGCCATAACACAGCTGTAAATTACTGTATTTTCCGCCGTAAACGTTGCACCGCCCATAAATCGCATCAGTCCAAATATGTCTAATAAAGTGGAAAAATCCATAAATACGTTGCTTCGCCGTATACGTCGCATCTGTTATGCGTCACCACTGACACGTCGCGTTTGTTACTCATCACCACTAACAACCCGGAAATGTGGGCCGATGTTGTGCCAAAAATCGATTGGCTGCCAAATGGTGGCCGTGGGAGCGTGCACGGGAGAATTTTAACAAGAATTTTAACAAAATTAACACTTAAAAACAATTATTTGTTTGCTCGAAATTATAGCAAAGGTGTGTCTCAAACTTTTCCTTAATAAATGCACTTTGACGGTCAAATCAGCTGCATTTCAAAAGGTGATACCTGGAAACATGAAGCGCATAGGGTGACTCACTGTGCATTTTTTTGAAATTTAACAAGATAACCACCTAAAAACAATTATTTGTTTGCTCGACTTTATAGTAAAGGTGTGCCTCAGTTAAACTTTTACTTAATAAATGCACTTTGACGGTCAAACTAGCTGCATTTCTCCGGGGCAGCTCAACGAAATGAAGCTGATTTGACGGTTGCTCCAGGCAGACGATGGTGTCATTAATAGTCACTTTTACCTATTACATGATACAATGGCATGCCATACAACTCGAGTGCAATCTAGCGGCTGAAAATGGTAGTGTTCAACATTTTCAGTCAAAATGAATAAAATCAGTCATATCTCAGCCAAAAATTGGTTTATAAATATGGGAAAAAATCCATAAATGCATTGCTTCAGCGTATAAGTTGCAGGGTATGCAAATTACAAGGAAATCTGTGACTTGTAGGTGAAAAATATGGTAGATTGAATAAATGGCTGCACAGATATGTTCAACTAGTTAAAACAGAAACTAGAACTCTCATCTGATGGTGCTGTAAGTCTTATAATAACCCGTTCTTTAGGGAAGGACAGATGTCACCCGAGCAGTGGCAGAAGATGTATGGACGCTGCTCTGGAAACGAGGTCTACCACATCCGCTTATGTGACAGCAAGTTCTTTGGGGAGTACGACGGAAAGAGCTTCACTTACGCCTCCTTCCATGCCCACAAGAAGTTAGTAAATATGGTTTAGTATTTTAAACTTTAATCCTAATGAAGTAAATAGTAATGTATCTGGGAACTCCGAAAGCACGTAGAGCTGAGGCGTATTTTCTCTCCTGCAGGTACGGAGTGTGTTTGATTGGTGTGAAGAGAGAAGACAACAAGAGCATCCTCTTGAATCCTGGACCGCGTCACATCATGGCTTCTAACGATACCTGCTACTACATCAACATCACCAAGGAGGAGAACTCAGCCTTCATCTTCAAAGAGGAGGAGAAGCACAGCAAGGGTCTGTCCGTGACCGGCCTATACGACGCCCCCTCCAGGCTGCCCGTGCACAGCATCATCGCCAGCATGGGTAAGACCAGAACCAGAGAAGCAGGTTAACGTTGGAGATGACCAGCCCCGAGATTCTTATTGGTGGCTGAAATGGTTTGCATGGAAGAAGAGAAAACGGATGCTTTTAGTCTGAACTGCACTTTGTACATTTCTAAATGCTGGCTGCCTGGATGACGCTTTCGCTGACCAGTGCATGTTTTTTTTTTTCTGACTGCTTCGTTGGCTGACATTTTGTAATGTGCTTGTTTTTGTTTTTTTGTTTTTTTACCTGTGAAAGTTGATCAGGCCACTTCATTTGGTAAGTTTATGCATGAAGTGTCTTTTTTTTTTTTTTACACTACACAAGTTGCACTTAATACTTATACTTTGTTTACTTTGACAAAGTATTGGGGCTACTCAGACCAAAACAAATAAAAAAGTTTGTTTGTTTTTAAGTTTTGATATGAAAGTGGGCAAGGCTGAAGTGTAAATTATTTTGACAGACAAACATCACAATTTTGAAAGTATGATGTCATTTTACAGGATTTAATGCAGAAGAAGTAAACCCAGCTATGCTCGTGGACATGACTGTACAGTAGTCCCTCGTTTATCACAAGGGTTTGGGACCAGCTCTCTGTCTCCGGCTGCTCTCTACCATCTGCCAGCGCTCTTGGCCACGCCCACTTCTCCGCTGCAGAGCGGAGATCTGACACGCTGCAGGAGGAAGCTTCTCCTGCAGCTGTGGGCTGCTCAAAGGTGCAGCAGGTGCTAAGTAATTGATTTTAAGTAAAAACTGAATGCCAATCATGCGGCTCATTCATTAATCAGCCAATTGTGTGTCATGAAAATATACCATTGAGAGAGTCTGCGTGAAGTTAATGATGTCCAGTTAACCAGTGAATACTGGGTGCAGTGATGGGTACGATAATCACAGCCAGTTATGACTCTTAGTGCACCATGATAGACAGCATCCAACATCTGCAGGGTGCTTGAGGTGTGGTTTATTACTGCCACTGCAGCAGAACTCAGAAATTGTTTCAGTCTTTCACAATAAGAGTCTTGTGGATAAATGAAACGGGTTAATTTGAAGTCAACACTGCACCTTTTTCTATCAGTAAACGTGACACTCAATTCTTGACCTTAATCTCAAGACTTAAAAAAGAAAGCCTCTTTCTTTTTCCCAACTCTTCTGAGTAGCTCCAATAATTTGTCATATTTCCTTTATTTACTGAATGTACTTTATAACATGTCTAATAATACCAGAAAAGATTATGTATGTGTTGTGCATATGTCATGTATTTGTCCTAATAGATGCATTGTACATCATATTACAGTTATTTGATGTATGTTAAAATGTATTTATTGGTGATAATGTTACTGTTTGCATGCCATTCACTGAGGACTGAAGTCTGTCTGGAAACCAATACATTTTCTCCTCAGGGTGAAATGTTTGTGTTAAAAGACTAATGAGCTAAAATGCTGAACAAATTAAAAATTAACAGCCCCAAGAAGGTAGAAATAGTCCCTGGCTCTCACCATAGCATTTACATGCAAATTATCCTGAAAATGTTGTGCATTCTGAAGTAATGTAAGAAATGCCATGGCTGCTTCACTGCTGATTAAACAAACTCGTGTAATTTTCAGGCACCGTAGCTATAGATCTGCAGCACGCTGATCCTCCTGAGGAAAGTGGAAAACTGGCCTTACCGACGGAGACCAGCGCTGGGAGCCGCAGACCGAGCATCGCACCCGTCCTGGAAATTGCTGACTCCTCTGTCATTTTGCCCTGCGACCTCCTCAGCGACCAATCAGAGGACGAGACCAACCAATCAGATGAGGAAGGCTCTGTGGGGTCCGAGTAAGTCACGTAATTGTGGTTAAAATGCATTAAAGGGTTATGTGGTGTAGCAGCAGCGTCTTGCTTTCTGTACTTGATTGATCTCACTTGTCTTCCTTGTGCTTCAGTAGAACGAGAGGCAGGTGGGTTTGAAATAGGGGTGTACAGTACTCCCTCGATACTTCGCGTTTTGACTTATGTGGACTCACTCTTTCGCGGGTTTTCAATGAAAGATCACACACCACACATTGGTGAAGGGGAAAGACAAACCCCACCTTCAACAACCTCCTTTCTCTTACTCTGCTGCGACAGACAGCCTCAGAAAGAAACAGAGGGGGCGGTGGGGGGGAGCTGTCTTATACCTGAGTGAGCCGCACTCTCCCTCTTTTTTAAACTGATTTTCTCCTATTTTTTCACCTAAGCATTTTTTGCAGATATTCTACGTTTGTCCCCCTCCTTTCTCTATCCGAGGCTGTCTGTCATAGCAGAGAAAGAGAAAGGAGGGGGGGGGGGCTTATACTTGAGTCAGCCGCACAAGTAGCATGGGTTGTTTATTTAAAATAATCAAGCGTGACCCAAACCGAGCCTCAATGGTCAGCCCGCTCCTGTGGCTCAGTAACTGTAGTAGTCTGCTCTCTTTTGCTGTTTTAGAGCGTTTAGAGAGCTTAGAACATTGTTAAGAACATTGCAAGAGTGTGGGAAGTGTTTATAAAAGGCTAATAAAGGGGTTCTAAAGCCTTATCTATATATATATATATATATATATATATATATATATATATATATACATACATATATATATATATATACATACATATATATATATATATACATACATA